GACCGCTCATTTCTTCACGGACTCGGGCCAAAACTACCGCTGTTTCCGGAGGCACCGTCACCGGTCCCGCTTAATTCGGACGCCAGCCGCGGGCTACCATCGTCCCTCGGGTATCGTCGCCTGCCCGTCGCTCTAGCAGGTCCCACTCGATAAAAAAGACCACCCGGACCGCCGCGCGTCTGCTGCCGCCATCCGCAACGCCGGCATCGGCGTTTTCGTCGACTGCTCTTGAGCCACCGGTGTCTTCGCCGTCAGCGGCGCGCCCTGCATCCCCGACTTCGCCTTCTCTACAGGTTTCGCCCGGGACTTCACCACTCACGATGTCCCCTTCGCGGATATCACCACGGACTGCGGCTGCCCCAGTCGCTGAGGCTTCGCCTTCTGCCGCCTCTTCCGTTTGATCGCCTGATTTTTTTTCGGAATCTTCTGGTTTGGACACCTCCCACTTGCGGGATTGTGTTCAGAGTTTCAGCACTGTGGAGTGGGCTAGGGAACAGCAGCGGGAGAGCGAGTGCGTGGTGGCTATGCGCTTTTTTTCTTGCGGTTCTCCCTCCCCACCCCCTCCGGGCTTGCTCACTCTCTGTGCTCCTCTTCGCTCCCCTCGGTTAGATGATGTGCTTGTGTTGGCGGCGAAAAGCAGACTGCACACGACCGATGACAACATCACCCTCCTCGTACATAAATCGGCGACATCGCCGGTTGGGCGCTCTGGCGGCAGGACCACTCGTCTGCCGGATACTGGCGTGCCCCGTGTCTACGTGCCAATGCTGATGCGTCCGTGGGTCCTTCATGCATGTCATACCGCCGCGTCATTCCATCTCGGCGTCCATCGTACACAGCGTCTGCTCGAGCGCTTCTACTGGTGGTTTGTTTTGGATCGTTCCGTGCGCTGGTGGCTTCGGGCGTGTTTGGTGTGTCAAGCTCGCAAGACTTCACGTCAGACTGCTCGGTGGCCCGTCATCGCTGTGCCATTGCCGCAGGGGCCTGGTACGGTCGTCGGCGTCGACTTCTTCGGACCTCTGCCAGTGACTGCCAAGGGCAACTCCTACATTTTGTTGTTCACAGACCGTTTCAGCCGGAGCGCCGACATGTTCGCAGTTACAGCGGCGGAATTCACGGCGAGAGGAACGGCTCACATCTTCGTCAACCAATACATGACCAAGTGGGGTTGTCCGACTACTTTGTTGTCGGACAACGGACTGCATTTCTGCTCGAAGCTCTCCATGGCTATTTACGAGGTGATGAAGATCAAGAAGGTCACCACCAGCTCCTACCACCCACAGACCAACGGCGGCACGGAACGCGTCAATCACACGATGGCCCAGATGCTTGTGGTGGTGGTCAACGAACAGCAAAACGATTGGGACATACATCTTCCGCACGTTGAGTTTGCCTACAACAGTTCCGTGAACCAGTCTACTGGATTAGCGCCAAACGAGATCCAGATCGGACGCATCCCGCGACTCCCGCTTTCGGTCTTCGATCGTCCCACGGTAGGTGGTCATCAAAGCTTGGCCCGCGATCAACTCGAGTATTGCAACCTGGCTGTCGATCACGCCGGGCCTACAAACTTGTCCGTGAGTACAACGTGCTGAAGATTTCGCGAGTCGACCGCCGAAATTCATCCCTGCTGGACGCCATTCACAAGCCCCCTCAGTTTAACGTTGGCGGGTGGGCTTGGGTGTACAACACGGCTGCTACAATTCGACAGGGTGTGTGTGCAGAACGACACGGACCAACAGGTGCTCAAGGCCAAATTCGCACATTCCTGGACGGGACCCTACAAAGTTCTCGCGGTGGGTCCCACCTCTGCCGACGCCACTCCGGACGGCCGCCCGTTGGCGCGTAAACTCCTCTACCTGGACCTGCCTTCCGATCTTCCGGCCCGGCAGCTCGTTGTCGCGTGTCTGTCCTTCGTTGCAAGCCCTGTCGAAATCCGTACGAGACGGACAACTGGCCGCAATCTCTGCCCGCCGAGCTTTCGCGTTATGTTCTGCACTCTTTCGGAGATAAATGTCCAACTTTTCACGTCACCGCGGATGATGTGTCGGTGCCTGTCGGGCGCCTCGAGGTCGACTACATCTCGGGACATCAACTGGTGCGGGGCCGTAGCGGCGTTCTCGCTGTCCTGTACCAGACGCGTTGGGTAGGCCTGACTAATCCTTCATGGGAACGGGAATCCGACCTTGATCTATTCCGTCGACACATCCTCTTGTACTGGCCCCAGGAGGCCTGCCAAAGCAAGCAGGGTAACCGTACATATCGAGTGGCTCGGACTCGCGCGGCACAGCGGGAGCTAGCCCGGAATCGTGGAGAACGCTATTTGCCTCCTGGGGCTGATCTTGTGCTTAACGCGACTTGGCTTCGCCGTTTCAGCACTTCGCCCCTCCCTGTTGGCGCGCGGCTGTGGTACAAGGCCCGTGATGGATTGTGGTGGACCGGACCTATTGGTGCTCATCAGGGCGGCTCGTACATCGTTCGATTTTTGGATGATCCGGGCCCAAGCGTTCCGCCTCTGCCTGCGCATTTCTACTCCACCGCCTTGGACGCCGTCTGTGGATCATGGTGTTTGGAGAACATCGTTCGCGCCCTCTGGGCGACAACCGTGGTCGCACTCCGCTCCTTGCTGACTCCTTCCCGTCGGCTGTTCCAACCGTTTCTTCTTAGCGTCGTCGTTTTCATATACCAATCGGCCTATTTTGGTCTTTTGTGCCATCCTTCTCGCCGACGTTTTGCTTTTGTTTTTTTTTCTGTCACCTTTCGTTTTGTTTTATTTTGTTTTGTTTTTCTGTCTTGTCTCTTTTTTTTCGTTGGCTTATTTTGTTTTGAACGCTGGGGCAACGCCGCCTCAAGACATGCAGTGTCGAGTGATCCTTCTTCCTTGTTGCCTGCATTCATCTGAATCAGTGAATTGCCGCGACCTGGATGTCCGTTCTCTCTCGCCTTTGCTTCAATATTTTTTTGTTGTCGTTGGTCCTTGGTTCTCTCAACAAGCTCCTTCCGAAGTTTCGTCGGTGTTGTCTGCCTCTGAACACTTGGACAAAGAGTTCCCTAAGTTTCGTCGGTGATGTTTGCCTCGGGACACTTGGACACCGAATTCCCCGCGTTTTCCTGGTTCGCCTGTTTGCCAACTAATGTTGTCTTAATTTCTTATTTGTTTTAGTTCCATCGTGCCGCAGAAGTGTCGCATACGCTTGGTGCTTCGGGATTCCATCCCGTGGCGTCGCCTTCTCCCATGGATTTTCGTCGTCACCCACACTTCGTTCTGCTTCGTCTCCATCATCGCCACCTTCGGGCGACGCCTTCATCGCAGTAGCGCCCCTGAGTCGTCGTCTTGTTGTGTGAATCTCTACGACTTTCTGTGTTTTATGTCTTCGAATGATGCGTATCGCCAGCGAGCCATGGCGCAGCTCGTCGACCGCCTCTCTTGCATTAATCGCTTGTGCTTTGCATCCTTGGTCCTCAATAGGTCTTGCCCCTGCCGTCTCCTTATACGATTTGGGTACCCTGGCACGCTGGCCATCGTTCTCCGTGCCTTTGCCTGTCGTTCTTTTCTCCTGCCCTTCGTTAACGTCCTAGATTGCGTTGAGTTTTCCTTTTGCGTCGCGTCCAGTATCAAAGGCCGTATTCGTTCGGAAATTTGCTTGGGTTTTGAGTTTCGTCACCGTGTTTTGGACTCGCTCGGGTAGTCACCCTCATTCCTCCAGCGGTGATACGCGCGGGTGCGCGTAAAAGAGTGGTGTGTGGCGTCTGGATCTTGATTTTTTTTCCCTGTCGTCGTCTGTTCAGGATGATAGCGTGCTCTGCCGCAATATATATTCTTCGTAGCTTTATCCCTTCAAGCGTTGTCATTGAGATGTCGATGTTCCGTCTCGAGACCGTTCGCATTCTTCATCTCAATGATGGTGTGGGGGATTGATTCGGGATATTTCTACAATTCACCTTCCTTTTGGATGTTTTGTGAAGAGTCATATCTTCGATTCATGATGATCATAAACCATCAGCTAAAATCTTACCGTAGCTTTAGACTAGGATTTGAGTATTGATTTGAGTATAGAATCTGCATATATGATATTCAGGGTGGGCTAGTGTTATGGAGTGTGGCTGCTAGCATGAATAGGCTACATCTTATTGTTGATAGGATGCGGGTCGGTCAGGAGGTATATCCTTCTGACCCCTACCCCCTTAGAATTGTCTACTCTGTGTACCCCCTGAGATGAAGTTGGATCCCCACTTCATCCCAGACCTTTGCTGATCGTCTNGGAGCAAGCTACCGCCCACGGCATCACTCCTTGAAAGCTGCTTGTGAGGGAACTTCTATTATTCTGTATGATGTACGTGTACGTGAGGAAATAATTTTGTTTCGCAACATGGTACCAAATATGAAAGTATGTGCCACGAAGAATGTCTTGTGGGCGACAAAGGACCGAAGCTCTCAGTTCGGAGAGGCAAGCCCGCTAGGTAGGTGAACTGCGAGCGACGGTGGGCGTAGTTGAAAAACGTCATGAACAATGATAAATACCTTGGTAGACTACACGAAGAGGTCCCAGAGCCATATCGATCGGCCAAAGTTTTCGGTATCCACAGATGAGAGTACGGATGCGAAGAGTCGGGGTAGAGTAAACCGGCCAATTAACGAACGCTTAAGCCACCCCTCGCGCCAATAGCTCGTTCTCGGGCATGAAGAGGAGTATGATGTATTTGTGGGTACCGGACGATAGCTTGTATTATAGGCTACCTCCCTAAAAAAAAAAAAAAAATCGTTCGTGTCAACGAGATAGAGCTGATGCAGTGCATTCCATTGTTTAGCTGAAAATGCAGGAAAACACCCCCCCCCCCAATTAACGAACACTTTAGCTTTGTAGCTGCTTTCGTGCGTTCTGAAGCGTTTCATGATCTGATTTTTTGTGGAGATACGTCTGTCGCAACATATATCCGTTTAGGAAAAAAAAAAATGGAATCGATCCACGCCCGGGGACAAAATCCTCACATCCCCGGGTTTTCCGCCTGAAATCGGGGACGGATTTTACCCCATTTTTGACCGTACGGCGGTGCTGCACACATGAAAAGAGCCAAAACTAAGAGATTATTGCACAGTGGGTCTAATCTGATCATATACAGACTCAAGAAAAAAAAATTAGGACGAAAAACTTCGCGCATGTGATGTAATGCCCGTTCAAACAGGCACCCCTTGACCCGGCCGCTACCGCTATAATTCTCCGCAAGAACCCCAAGGCCATTTCCCTTTTTTCACAGTCATCTTACATTCCCACAAGACGCCCTTTGGTGTGTAGGTTTGTTTTATCACAAGAAACGCTGTTGCAAAAAAAAAAAAAAATCATGCATGCCCGGGGACAAAATTACCATATCCCCGGGTTTCCCGGTATCAACCCCCCCGCCCCCCCCGCGCTGCTGGGGTGCACCCTAACCATCTCCACATGCCCCCACAAACCACCTAATCTTCTGCTTTACTCGTATAGTCTAATTCATCCACCGCCTAGACAATAGTAGCCCAGAAAAACAACAACAACCGCAAAGCATCTGCCCTGGTCTAAACATCAACGATTGGTGTCGGGATCCGCTGCCGTCCTCGGGAAGAAATGGGAGCCGCCGACGGCGGCGGGTGAACCAAGGGAACCGCCGCCCCTCTCGGCCGTCCCGCTCCTCCTTGGACGGGAGCACCTCTCCCCTCGTCCCCCCCCCGCCCTCCCGCCCCCATTTGCTCTCCACGAGCACCAGTGGTGCGGTCCTGGCCACCCTGTCCTCTGCCACGCCCCTCTCGCCCACCGCCACCGCGCCCCCTGATCGCCGTCCGCGTCCCGCTTAGCTCAACCCTCACGCTCCTCTCTCCCCGCCCTCCGTCCTGTTCCCCGCCCCGTCCTTCGCCACGCCCCCCGCTCCGCCCTCCACCTCTCCCACCCTCGCGCCCTCCACCTCTCCCCCCCTCTCGCCCGCCGCCCCGCCCGCCGCCCCGCCCGCCGCCCCGCCCGCCGCCCTGCCCGCCGCCCCGCCCACCAACTGCTCCAGATTGTTGGTTGGCCTCCTTCGTTGCCCTTGCCTCCGCGCGTGCCGCCTTTGCTTCCTCAGCTGCCTGCTTCGCTTCTTGGTCCTTCTTGGCCTGAGCAAGATGTTCTTCGGCGGACAGCAGACCACCTTCGGGCTTCCCCCCCCCCGCCCGAACGGTCGCGAAAGCCTTGGTGCGCTTGGTGAGGCGGGTGAGCCCGCCAAGGAACACGGTGTTGACACGGAGCCCCTCGATCATCAGCCCGTGTCTTTTCAGCTCCAGGAGGGCAGCGCGGCCGAGGTCTCGCTCGAGTTGATCCTTAGAGGCAACCACGGCGAGGTCTTCACGAATAGGGCGGTCATGGTCCCGTTGCTTCCTCTTGCTGTGTAGTCTGTTGATAGCTTTCTCCATGCTCACCGGCCACAAGCCCGACCCTTTGAACGCCGCCTTGTTGTTCTCAGGCGTGAAGCTCCCTGCCCATGCCTCCGCAATCACGCCAGCCATGTCGCGCTTCACCGGACTCCTCCCCCCGTTCTTTAGCGGGTAGGCCGTGAGCACCTTGGTGATCTCCATCTTGAAGGTTCCGAACGTACCGACGTCCAAGGGCTGGGTGATGTGCGATGTGTGGGATGGAAGCTGGAATAGGTCCATGTCCAGGGAGATGCCCAAGCTGATGGCGTCGAAGGTCGTGTGTGAGGCGTGGCCGTCGAGCACAAGGGCAGCTTTGCCCAGCAAGCCGCGCGCATCGAGCTGCTTGCGGAGGTCTCGAAGGTAGTCCAGGAAGACGTGGCTCTGGATGAAGGATGACTCCGTGACGGTGTACTTCGCATCGGGGACGCCGTTGTTGTCCTGGATCCAAGCGGGTTGCATACGCTGGCCTTTGAAGATGATGGTAGGGTGGAACG